AGTTTTTTGGATTTTAAAAGCATCATGCAACAACAATTCAAGTGCCGTTTGTTCATCCCCAAAGTCAGACAAGCTTTTATTAAAACACGCCTTTGATAAGAGGCTACCTTTCTCCCTTTCCGGCCTTCTGTGGAAAGTGTGATTCAGGTTAAAGTGATCTTCTTAGGAAGAATTATCTCCGTAAGATCCAAGCTATCATGTATGTAAGTCCTTGAAAATGATGCCATTTTGTGAGGCCATGACAAGATTGCATCCATGATTATAAGTCCTTCCATCAGTCAACCCCACTGGTAAACAAAGGCAGGAATAAAAGTCCCTTCTCTGCTCTTCTACTAATGCAGTTCTAGCCTTTTCTAGCAAAACGTACATAAAAGAAAAGATAGAGGAACACGCTTGGCACTAGAGAAACTTGCACTCTGGTGCCTGAGATGTTTATAGCGTTCAAGCTGATTAATTAAATGTCAATAGAGTGAGTCCCTAAAAAAAGTTAAAGGATCATTTTAACAAGCGATTAAACCATCGTGATTATGAGAGAGGCATATTCTGTCCTTCACCGGAGGTCGTTTTTGTGCTCAACAAAGTGATGGAAAATTAACTATTTTCATAAACAGATGGTCTTTAGGATAATGGCTTGTACTTTTTAATTTCCTTTTTGGCAGTACATCGTGCCAAATGTCAGCAATATCAACAGTCTTCATAAGAAGTTGTCTGATATTGTTGGGATCCTTAGAACAGATATCCAGTTTTTCCCCAATAATATACACGGAAAGCAGAGAAGTTTAAGAAGGTACAGAAAGATAAAAAATTTAATATATTTAAACCAAGGGGAAATGAATCCATACCAAATTCCAAGATTAGAAATTTATGGTTTAAAGTACTCATTATGTCTTTTCATCTCCACTGCACTGCTATCATTCAGAAGCCAGGAATCTTTAAATGTTCTCCCAGAAAACATCTTTTGTTCCTAAACCTTATTCTTAACAAGGGGTAAGTGATGCCCCATTTATAACATTTTCAATTCATAGAGTCCACATGTGGCTGTGTCCTAGCATAGCCAGACAGAGTGTACATTTCAAAAAAAAAAAAAACCCAAAAAACTAAACCTCATAAATCTCCAGAAATTCCTCACATCTATTATTTTTACCTTCTGCTGCTGATGAGCCTGTTGGGCTCTGTACAGAGGAAATTACAAGCGCTCCAGAAGATTTGGCAAGAAGATGCTAGAAGAAACAATGCGCGCGCGCGCACACACACACACACACACACACACACACACACACACACACACACAAGATTCTTAACCGGAGCATCGTATCCAGCTTTGGCTACCATTTACATATTTGAAATTACAGCTAATAAAATGGAAATTCCATTGAAATGGGATAAATTGTTTTCTGAAATCCCTATCTGATTACTGTTGGTGATGTCTGAAATTAAACATGTTAAGCTACACTCAATATACTTTATGGAATTCAACTGACGGCAAACATGCTTATTGAAAATCTGTCTGTTTATACAATTTCCCAATTAGGAACCAAGGTACTTGGATCTACCTAAACCTTTTACTCCTGGCCTTGTGATCACTTTCCTATTAATATATGTTACCAAACAAATCTCTCTTTACTTAATAGATGTTTGGAGGCTGTTGTAACAGCTGCTAACTGGTTAAGAAAATGCCAGTAGAAATATTTTATAGTCACACATTTAAATACCACTGGAAGTTAGCTTGGAGTTGATGCCAAGGGGAATGCTTATGTTTAAGGCATATCCTGCATAGTGCTAAAAAATTAATAGGTCAAAAAAATCTTTCACCCAAATTATGTACACACAATGCCAACACAATCAAGTGAAAAGCAAAAGCCTAACCATTGGACTTGTGTTTTTCTTCTTGATTCATTCTTAGTATCAATTTCTCCACCCAGTTGACTGTGGTTATGTTTTCGTTGAGAAGACACCATCTTATAACCCACCTAAGAAAATGATCTTGAAGAAAACTTAGTTACTCTTATGTTCGAAGGAGACTGAATGTACGCGCCTCATGTTTGTTAACCACGTGACTGGTAGTTGCGATTACATTTCATTCATCAGAAAGATAAACATGAACAGCTAATCAGGTGCAGGTTCATTTCACAGGAATCACTCTTGAAACAGAGGTGGCGGTAAAAAGCTACCCCTAAAGAACAAACAGAAGAAAACAAAACTAAAACCACTGCACGCACACCAGCTGTTTACAGCTCTACATAAAACGTAGAAAAATCACAATTCAGCATATCTTAGCCAAAGGAGAAGTCACGATGTAATCAATTAACCTCAACCGCACAACTCACCAAATCAGCAAATGCTCACATACTTATCGATTACCGGCCCATGCCCATAGCTGGTAGGCTAACCATTTACCTCCTCCTGCACAATTTCCTAGCTGTGAAAACCACCCAGAAACAGGGAACCAAGGACCTGTAAGAGCCTTCTCCCACTAAAGAAATACATTTTATTATTGTAAAACCAAGCCTAGTCCTTAAGCACGTTAACATGAATGGCTCCCACTTCAGCTTGGAAAGAACGACAAATAGGAGTCATCCAACGCTTTCCACTGAGTGCCACGCTGATTATTGCTAGTAAACTGCCCCTGGAGTTCGGCTATTTCCTCCCAAGTACGGTCTACCTTTAACTATATCTACAAAAAAGTAGGTTTGAAACTCATAATGTCTTTTCTTATCTCTTTGAAAATTACT